AAGATAGTCCAATTATGTAATCATCTATGATTCCAATCCAAATGTGGACACTAAACCTTTGCTGGAGTAAAAGTACTAAACATTAGAATTTGCCATTGTCCATACATGAAAATTCTGCAGATTCTACACACCATTTCATTTACATACTGCCTTAGCGGCCTCCGTAGTGTAGGGGTAACGTTTCCACCTCATGACTCAAGGTCATGACTCATGACCGGGTTCAAACCCGGTGAAGGTCGTGGAATTTTTAAGGGCAGAAAAATTCAGGGAACAAGTCCTCCAGGAGGGACTTTAAGCCGTGGGTCCCATATCGTAGATTTACGGCATGTAAAAGATCCTCATGTCTCTAGGAGACCTCTGAGCAAAATTGGGTAAAAAGTTTCCCACCCACGCAGTTTCCAATGCCTCTGGTAGATGGGGGAAGTATCAGGTACTGAGGACCGACCTTGTTGGCTGAACGGGGCTGATAGCACGCACCAGTATCTGTAGGGTATGGCGACTGGTAGACTATCAAAGGGAGATGTACAATAGATCAACAACTGGTCCCGGTGCATGGGGAAACATACCCCCTCCAATAATAATAATAATAATAATAATAATAATAAAAATACATACTGCCTTGTTAGTCAACAGCACATGACAAAGAGATTGAGAGATGTCCAGTTTTGTGTAGCACCCATTGTGAGAATTGGACATGGAGAGGTTTGTCCCCTGGCTGCACATGGAAATGATACAACTGATTCACAAGCAGAAAGTCCTGTTGCAGAGAGAAATCAGATGAATACTGGGTGATGGGTTATTGTTTACAATATCCAACACATCCTCCTCATCTTGCACATTGCATTTTCCATGGCTAATGTATGCAGCATGAGCGAACCTGTTTCTCTCAGATAACAATGTGCAGTTTCAGATACACATCCATAAGGTTTGTCTTCAATCTGGATATCCATGCTCTTATTCCTTCAATGCATCACAAAAACCATACGCGAAATGCATATCTGTGAACTCCGCATCAGTAAATCTTACCATTTTTTGTTGTCACTCTTCTTATTACTTGTACTATTACCAAAGTCTGATAATTGTTCTTCATCTATCTACTTCATAATCTCAGCACAACCCCCCCCCTTGAAATGATCATAATAATATAAAGTGACATTATAATGTGTTGTAACCTAAGAGGAACGTGAATCTGAGAAAAACTTTATGTACATTTTCAACTTCAATTGATTGCTCCAACAAAATCCTTGAGTATTGTTCTAGAGCTCTGAATTACCAGCAATAATATTAGCAATAATTATGACATGAATAGTACACTGATTTTCATGAGCTTAAAGAGCTGCTATTTATATATATTTACATAGAGGTCCAGTCCCTATTTAGCATTGCTCATACTTTTAATTATCAACTACCAAATTTAATTTAATTTTGAACCAGCTTTGGAAAATGCATACTTTTTATAACTAGAAGTGTTTTTCAAACACATTTCAATCAAAAGGCCTGAATGCTTCAAATCTTGATTAAATAATGTGACCACAAAATATTCTGCAAGAAAGGGGCAGATGAGAGTTTTTATAATTTCACAAATAATTGAGTTTTCTAGAAGATAAAATGCAATTTTCAGCATTTCCTTATATAGAAATGTGTCCAAGGTATAAAATACTCTCTTGTTAATTTTATTATTTTTGGTTTTCCCAAACAGCATTTAATCTTTATTTTAAAAGCAATTCCCTATTAAAAATATATATCAGGGAATTTATTTTGTTGCAATTAATGCATTATAAATAGCATTATTTTGTTGTATGTGACTCATTTCCTCAGGAGTGCAACAGTGTCCCTGCTCATGACAATATATCATAGACAGACAAGACTAAGAGACTAGGTGTTATATTGAACTTCAGTTTATGATAAAGCTGGGATATCTCAGTATAGTGACTAGGCTGGATGGCTGGGGAATCACGGTTCAATTCTTAGCAGGGACAGACATTTTTCTCTAACACATCCATACCAGCTCTGGGTCCCACCCAACCTCATATCCAGTGGGTAACAGGGGCTCTTTTCCCAGACATAAAGCCACTCAGGCATGAAGCTGACTACTCACTTCCATCTGGTGCCCAGGTTAAGAATGTGCAGAGCTATGCATCCCCCCCCCCCTCCATCTGCATTGCATGTTGCTTAATTAAGCAAAGGGACAAATTTTCTTTTACCTTACAGGTAAACTAGACTTCATGTCTAAGCATCATGCCATGAAATCATGCAGATGGCACAGCAGTAATGGTCCACACACATACCAGCTCTCAGCAACAAGATGGAGCAGTCCTGATTTGGTCACTTTTATTTCCAAGGACAGGAAGAAATTTCTGTCTGTGACAGGAAACAGATGCCAACCATGTTAGGATATGATAGGCTTCTAAAAATGATTCCATGACTGAAACTCTTCAAGTCATCAAGTCTTGGTACCAGTGGCAACTTACCTATCTTATTACACAAGATTACTTGGGACAAAAGCATTTCTGGATTTGAAATTTAATAGAGAATTGCTTTTAAATTGCATATAATAAAATATGTATACCCCTGGCAATCTCTTAAGAAATCTGGGTTCCAGGGAATTGGGAATCACTAGTCATTACTGGAGCATCTGCACATTGCATATAAAATCTTCACACACTTTGTGCCAATGGCAATGGTTACATATTATACGATAAGTAAAATGTGATCAATTTCCATGGCTGAGTCTGTAACTTTGGCAAGTTTCATCATACCCAGATTTTTAATATGCTGAGAGTCTAATTAAAGATACAGTTCAACCTCACAGACAACCAACCAGTGGTAACAAGTGTAAACTTGAAGATAGGAACTTATGCTTTCTAAGAGTATGTATGACAGAGAGTTATATGTTCTTTTTCTCTAGAATCTACTGAAAAGTATGTCTGACTCTGAAACATCAGTATTGAAGATTTCAATAAAATTTAGGGATCATAAAAAATAAAAAAATAAAGCCTAATTGAGACAATATTTTGATTGTTATTGTTATCCTACAAGGAGAACATATTATTCTTAGACTGGCCATCTAGAAAGTTCTACTACATCTGTTCACTGATGGCCACTGAACCACTGCTTAGTCACCCAATACTTGCTGGCTCATGTCCTTCAAATACAGACAAGTATAGTTGCCAATGTTGTGAAATACAGTATTCAGAAATTAAGTATAATGTATAATAGAAATTATTCATATACAATATTTCTGTACAACATTCTTCTCTAAGGAAATGCCATAGAAATCTTTGTAGGAAGTATTCCGATAGTACAGTGTTGTGTAAAGCAATCATTTACAATATAATAACAAAATATTCTATGGGATCAGTGCAGGACAAAAAGAAATCTTGAAAGGGATGTACCGAATGAAGAAAATCTTGACATCAGTGGTTGACTGGAAGCCTGAAGAAGTCATTACATCTTTTGGCTGTTCAGTGTGGATTGACAAAATATACAGCTCACACTGGTACAAAGTTGCTGAAGTGACAGCCTTACAAAACTACAGTTGTACATAGCCGTTTGCCTCCAGATTATGAAGCAAGAATTTAGCTTTTTAGATGGTTTTGGGACTTGGTATTCAATGGATTCCTTGGCACAGAACTTATGTTTTATTCTGACAAGGTGTCATTCACTCTAAGTGGTTATGTAAATAGAATAACAGGTGCTGGAACACAAAACATCATGCTGTTTTTGAAGTGCCACTGCACGATTTGAAAGTTGGGGTTTGGTGTGCAATTATTATATGGAGGATAATTAGGCCAATTGTTTTTTTCATGGAACAGTAAATTTCAAACACTATGTGAGACTGATCCTATCACCCTTCCTTGATTGATGATGATGAAAAATTGTATGATCATTCTATGCAAGACAATTCAGTGGCATACACTGCAAAACCTTCTATCAGTGCATTAAATGAAGTCTTCAGTTAACAAGTCATAAGCTGAGAACTGCAGCCTTCATGATCACCCAATGAAAATCCCTGTGACTTTTATTTGTGGGAATTGCTGAGATTAAAAGTGAGCGTGAACTTCAACAAAATATTAGGCAGTAAATTTCCACTTTTCCTATACAGCAGCTCTGACATGTCTAGAAATATTTTCATACAATATGGGGCTTGCTTAAAAGCACAGGGTCATCACTTCAGGATTCTTCTATAAAACAATGTATGTTAAACTACAGCTAGAAAGTGGGCTGTGAATTATCAGCTACCATGGCAGGTCTATGCGAGAAGACTGCCGTGTCAGCTGCAGCGACCAGTCTAAGGATAATCCGCTCTCTCTGTACATTAAAAGGAGAAAGAATTGAAGCAACAGATCATCTAGTTTTTAAGAACAGGATTATTAAACAGTGCATGACCTCAATATTAAAAGGCAGTTTCTCTTAAATTCATTCTTCCTTTCTATCATCATCATCATCATCAATGTCAACAACAATAACAAAACTGAAGTGGTTCAGGAACTTTTTCTGTGAAATTCATAACAAAAATGTGCCTGTCATATAAACATTGGTATCTCTTATCAAAACCAAAACAGCACAAGCAATGAAGAAGCTTAGAAGCATAAGTAGTAGTAGGTTAATTAGGCATCGTGAAAACCATCTTGGTTTTCAGTGGCATTTGATTTCAGAGTTTGTAGTCAGAAAATACAAATTTACATGACTAAATTAAAACACATATTTGTACAATCTACACCATGTATCCACCAGCTATACAGTATATTTAATGCTCAACTGTTTCGCATCAGTACTATGTTCAAGAGTATGTGGATCTATGTATCCACTCACCCATATGCCTTCATGACACAGTGCTTTAAACAGTTAAGCATAGGAACAACTTTTTTACTATCTTCAGTTGCTTTATCCTTCAGACAGAGTTCCATAATAATGGAAAAGACGATAACTTCTGATTTGAACATAAGGCCAGCAGATTACACACTTCAGAAAATGACAAATAAGAAACAGGAAAAGAAAATATTCTCATAGTGCTGTACATTTCCTCTCCCACCTGGGTCAGTAAATAAAATTTACAATACATATTCAATAGTACGTGATCTACAACATAAACAGTTATTACTTCGTTTCATCAAGTTGCCCGATACTGATATAGATAAAGTATTAATAAAACAGTAGTAAGAGTATATATTACATCAGTCTCAGGAAAGTACTTGTAAGTCAGGACTAGAAGCCAGCCATTATGGCACAGCAAGGAAGAAAGTATTGAGATGAGATTAACTTGGGTTCTGTTCCACGGAAGTCATCACTTGATCTTGTTTTGAAAGTTCTGGCTGTCTTTCTTCGTGCATCGGTTCGTCAGTAACTGGGAGAACGGGACGTCCAGGAGAAGGGCTGTCAACTGGTCGGAATGTGAAACCGGGAGAATCTGCACTTGAAAGTGACTCGGGAGTTCCAACAGAACTCAGGGATCCAGGAAGTGGACTCGATGTTGCATCCAGCCTGCGAAAAAATTAAGAAGAAACAGGATATAGTTTCCTTTCCAATAATGGAAACAAGATGTCAGCCATCGCAATCATCAGTGATGATACAGTTATTCTTCTTACACTCATTTTCTTTTCTTGATGTAAGTAAAGCGTTTCCTTTTAATCTTAATGAAAGACTCACATACTTTACGTGTCTGTGTGTGTGTAAATAAACAGAATTGATCTTCTTTGTTTCTTTATCATGTGTATTAATGTGTCAGCTCTTGTAATCTTCACAAGAGTAAAACCCTAACGGTCCATACAGAACGTATGCTGTCTCATAAGAGCCAAATGTACTTTATAAAAGGACAATAAAAACATCTGAATTTCAGCCATCAAACCTAATTATTACTACATTTATTCCTTCCTTTATATAATATGTCTATGCAAGGTAATAAAATCATTCATAACCATCTGCAAATTATTATTATTAAAAAAAAAAAAAGAATGGTACCTGTATACAGAATATATAAATTCCCAGTGAAAGGAAAGTAAAACCAGGAGAAATTCTTTGTAGATTAAATGCACTGTATGAGGAAGGGACCCTGTCATGTGAAAGTGTCTATGATTGGTATAGTACATTTTCTGAAGGCTATACAGAAGTCTAAAACCCAATGCATGCTCACATTCAGCCAACAGCTGTATATGATAGCAACATTCTCTGTGTCAACAAGCTGATTTTGGGAAATAGGTAAGTTACTGTGTGTCAGTTGCATTCAACAGTGAAACAATTATCCATGAACACTTACTGTTCAAAAAAGTGTGTACCAGATGGGTCCCCTAAGATGTTAATGTTTGACCACTAGGCACAATGTGTTGCTATGTCTGCTGAACATCTGCACCAGTTTGAATTGGAGGGAAACAGAAAATTACGCCACACTGATGGAATTCCGGTAGTGCCGATCCTTTCACTGGAGGTCTCAGTGGATTTAGGACAAAAGAGGCAGTCCATGTAGACAAGAATTCTGCACTAATAACTATCTTTCTGCTCTTCTTCAGTGAAGTGGCCCAAATGCTGGCAGCAGAGACTAATAAATACTAAAAGTAAATCAATATTTATGACTTCCTGACATGACAGTACAGCAGATGCATTCTTCTAGCTATGGAACATGATGTTAGGGACATGCTGAGGAACTACTGGTACATTTTTGAATGGTTCTATATACGTAGCTGATTCCAAAAGTAAGGTCTCCAAAGCGCTGGGTAATTTTTTGTGCGGCTGTTGGCAACCCTGTTGCATTCGTTGCTTCCCCCACTCCCCCCAATACTACCAAGCATGCGCGCACGTAGCTAGGACGCTCAGTCTTGGCACGGTTGCCGTTAGAAATGGAGCTCCCGATTACTAAAACCGCGAAGTGTCAGATTCGCGCAGTTATTTGATTTTTGAACGCAAAAGGGACTAAACCAATTGAAATTCATCGTCAATTGGTGGAAGTGTATGGCGAGTCGTGCATGGACATAAAGAACGTCCGCAAGTGGTGTAGGGAGTTTGAATCTGGTCGTACTGCAATACATGACGAAAAAAGAACTGGGAGACCATCAATTTCTGACGAGACAGTCGCAAAGATTGAGCGAGTCATGCGTCAAGATAGGCGCATCACACTCGATGATCTCTGCATTTCGGTTCCCGAGGTTTCCCGAACCACCATTTATCGGGTTTTGACAGAGAAGTTGAATTATCGGAAGGTGTGCGCAAGATGGGTCCCGCGAATGCTCACGGAAGACCACAAA